GGCTGACCGGCTGACCGGCTGATCGGTTGAACTCTCTGCCTTCGGGCGGGGAGGAACCCGAATGAGGCTACGCCGAAGGGCGGAGTCTCTTTCGGAGAGATAAACCGACCCTGAACCGAAAGGGCATATTTTGGGCCGAGTCCACGAGCTCGGAAATCCCACGTTAAAAAGGCCTTGTGCCACATGACGCCCTCGTGGGAGGGTGACTGAATATCGTTCAGTCCGAAGTCGGGCGACCGACGGATCGGCTGATCGGTTGAACTCTCTGCTTTCGGGCGGGAAGGAACCCGAACGAGGCTACGCCGAAGAGCGGGGTCTCTTTCGGAGAGATAAACCGACCCTGAACCCGTTTATACGGGTTCAAAGGGCATATTTTTGGCCGAGCCCACGGGGTCGAAGATCCCACGTCAAACCGGCCTTGTGCCACATGATGCCCTCGGGGTGGGGGGTGACTAGATATCATTCCGTCTGAAGTCTAGAGTTCAGTCTGGAGTGAAGTCCGTCAGGAGTCTGTCAGTCAGTCAGAGCGAGTCAGTCAGTCGAGTCAGAGGCAGCCCGAAACAGTCGCGTTCAGACAATTACTACAAAACCTGATTGTTCGTACTAACACTTTTCTACCTCTCTGTATATATTCCTGTTTGTAATATATCTGTTGTTATTCCATATCCGTGTTCGAGTTCTTCTTTATTGGGTCTACCTTGGACTATCACCGTGGTACAAGGACCTGGACCATAAAAATAACTTAAAATAAAATAGAAAGGAATGAAAAAAGGATTAAAACGTGAAGCAATTCAAGATGGCGGTAAAGAAAGGAAAGAGAAGATTAAAAATTAGAAGAAAAAGAGTAAAGAAAAATGAAAATTAGGAGGTAAGGTAAAAGAGAAAAGGGAAAAAAAAGAAAAGAAAAGAAAGATAGGCTAGAATTAAAATAAAGAAAGGAAGGAAGAACCGTAAAGAAAGAAAGTAATGAAAGAAAGAAGAGGATAAAGACAAAATGATGTAAAGAAATAAGAAAAGGAAATAAAAAAAAAGAGTGAAAAGAATGAAAAGATAAGGGGTAAGAAGAAAATAAAAACGAGGAAGAAAAGCAGAGGACTTAGAAGATGAGCGAAAAGAGAAAAAAAGAAAGAAAGAAAAAGATTTGAAATAAAGAAACAATGGAAATAATGGACAGAAAAATTACAAGGAAGAAAATAAATTGAATTTGGCGGGAGAGAATTTTAAAATAAAAAAGGCAAGAAGAGTATCTATAGCGCACAGGAGCCACTATTTCCGGTTATACCAGCGTGACAGTTCCTATCACAACGGACGCCTATTCGTGGTTGCATGTAATAAATGTGTGTCCTCGAATGAGCTAAGTCTATTTGCTGAAAGAATGAGGCACCGTAATGTATCTAACAACTTTGGCTCTTGATATTACTGGCGGCTTTGTAATAATGTATTAAATAAGAGTAAGTTTTCTATCCCTCACCTCTTCAATCAATTTGAGGTGTTAACATCTGCTGATAAAGCGGAATGTTTCGCCTGTAAATTCTCCTTAAACTCTACTATTGACGCATCTGGAGTATCCTTGCCTAACTTCCTACTTAGAACTGTGTCTCTATTGAGATGTGAATATAACCCCTTCTATGTTTTTTGCTATCATTACTAACCTGGATTCCCAAAAAGAATGTGGACCTGATAATATCACTTAAATGTCCTTGAGAAGTGTGGTCCCAAACTGACTCCTGTTCTCTCTCTCTCGACTGTATAATAAATACCTCGCAACCTCTTGCTTTCCTGCCCATTGGATATCCTCGTCTGCTGTTCCAATTTTTAAGAAGTTAGTGACCCTTCCAAATATCGGCCTATTATCCTTCTACCTTTTTTTGGTAAACTACTTGAAGCCCTAATCAGTATTGAATTAGCTAAGCTTCTCACAATGCACGACCTTCTTTCAGACAGGCAATATGGCTTTCGATTATCTTGGTCAAGTGCTGGTTTGGTTTGGTTTGTTTTACGGCATATCAACCTCATTGGGTTGTTTAATGACGGTAAAATTTTTGTTGCAGGTAATTATTTCTTCAAAAATGTATTGCTAGTAATTTCTTTTTTAAAAAAATATATATCTGGTAATATTTAAAAAAATAATTATTGCTGGTAATATTTTTTTACAAAGAATTTCTGTATTAAAACCTATTTTTACCCATTCATAGTGTTTTGACCCCAGTTTGCCCATATCTGGGAACCTAACAGCCCGGGTCAGAGTGGACCTGGGAACACCAGCAATTAATAGGTGGTTCTACGCTCCTCAAAACCTCCTGATCAGAGGCCTTCCTGTTGGACGTAGTTTACCCAGGGCGCGTATGTAGTTTATCGTCTTACCCAGGGCGTGGACGTAGTTTATCATTTTACCCAGGACGTAGATATAGTTAATAATCTTACTCAGGACGCGGATGTAGTTTATCGTCTTACCCAGGACGCGGATGTAGTTTATCGCCTTACCCAGGGCGTGGACGTAGTTTATCATTTTACCCAGGACGCGGATATAGTTAATAGTCTTACTCAGGACGCGGATGTAGTTTATCGTCATACCCAGGACGACCAAGTGCTGGTGTACTGACGATAATTGCGAAAACAATCTATCAAGCTCTAGATAGAAATGATGAAGCTCGGGTTGTTGCTTTGGACATCTCAAGAGCTTTCGAAAGAGTTTGGCATATAGGGCTTCTTCACAAGTTCAAACGTTACCGGACAAATTTGGAACTGATTCAGTCTTTCTTATCAAATATTGAAATGAAAATTATCTTGAACGGCTATACTTCTGGATAATTTTGTACTGATGCAGGTGTACCCCAAGGTTCTATCCTTGACCTTACTTTGTTTTAATCTTCATTAACGTCTTCCCCATGATATCAACTCTCAACTATCTATGCTGATGACCCAGCCGATTACACTCTTATTTCGATAGTAAGTGTCATCAGTTAGTTAAATTGGCAGCTAAATGTCTAAAACGAATTTCGGTCTGTTGTTAACTGAGGCAGAGAATGGCTTGTTAATTTTAACGCTTCCAAAACTAAACTGATCTCTATTAATCATGGGAAAGACAACTTTCTGTCTTCTATCAGCATGGCTGATGCTAACCTCCAAGAGAGCGACTCGTTGCGCCTTCTCAGATGAACGTTCTCGACTGACGGGAAATGGAAAGACTATACTGAATCCATTGCTAGGTCTGCAGTTAGGAAAATTGGTTCACTGTGTCGCGTCAGATATTTTTTCTCTCCAGAATCTATCCTACTGTCCGACTATAGAATATTGTTGCCACACATGATCTGGTGCTCCTGATATACATCTAGAGATCCCTGATAAAATTTAAAGAAGAATCAGCAATATTATTGGCCCTGATCTGGTGTCTCGGGTTCAGTCACCTCCCACCGGCATAACGTTGCCTAATTATGGCTTTTCTATAAATACTTTCATTGTAATTGCTCGGATGTTATGGTATGGCGTGTGCGTTTTCGTATTTGTTGTTGTGTCTGAATTAGTGCGTGTCTGTGTGGGTGCTTGGGATGAATGAATATTTTATATTATTATAGTTTCGCATTGATTTCGTCCAGTTAACTGATGTTTCTGCCACATTTAAGGATTGTGAGGGGCGTTATTACTAACATTGTTTTGTTTAGTTTCTTGTAAATAGTTTGGTTTCATATTGTAAATACTCATTGGAGCTAGTTTTTAAAATTGTTGTTTTATCCCCTCCCATCCACAGTGAATGAATTGTACATATAGGGACTAGTTAGGACTGCATGGAGTTTCTGAACCATTATGGTGGATGATGTAAGAATAGTAATCAAGAATGCGTTGTTTTGGTCTAAGGAATATTGTTGTATGTTTGGGTCAGTGTTTGTCGCTAGCTAAGTTTAACGTTAAGACAGAACAAGACCGTCCTTTGCCCTCTTCGCAATTTTGGATTTGTGCCACAGGTTGTATCATTGTACAAATAAATATCGCTCTTCACTATGGTACGCAGTACTGGACTGGCAACGAGGTCTCATAAATTTACAGTTGAGTTGACTAGATGTAACCGTAAGTTCTATGCTAACATTTGCTTTTCTCGGACTTCTCGCTTGTAGAACTCCCGTCCGGCGCCATGCTTTTTAGCCAACTTTAATTTTCAAAAGTTTAAATACAATGTCACTCGCTATCAACTGTCCTGATTATTCTTCTGTTCTTCTCGCGCTTTAGTAATGTCTCTGTTTTGTTATACTTACTCTTGGGTCTTGGTGGCTTTATTGCCTTGCTTGGGGTGATTGTGTTTAAAAAAAAAAGGAAAGGTGAAGGAAAGAATGTAATAAAAAAACGAATGAAGGTTGAGGAATGAAAGAAAGAATGAAAGAAAATAGGAAAGATAAAAAGAAGAAAATGAAAGAAGTGAAAGTCGTAAAGAAAGAAAAATAACTTGGTGGGAGGAAGAGAAGAGAGGGATTCAAACATTTTCCAAGGGCTTTCGAAAGAGTCTGGCGGGTGAATATAACGAATCCGGCTGGGACTGGAACTCCGCACTTCGATTTTCAATTGTGAGCGTTATCGATTACCCTACTTGCGTATCCAAGCTTACAGCACCTGGCTTTCCCAAGTCGTCACCCATCCAATTACTGACTAGGTTCGAGCTTGCTTAACTTCAATACTCGTACGAGAACCTGCATTTCAATTGTGAGCGTTATCGATTACCCTACTTGCCTATCCAAGCTTACAGCACCTGGCTTTCCCAAGTCGTCACCCATCCAGTTACTGACCAGGTTTGAGCTTGCTTAACTTCAATACTCGTACGAGAATCTGCATTTCAATTGTGAGCGTTATCGATTACCCTACTTGCCTATCCAAGCTTACAGCACCTGGCTTTCCCAAGTCGTCACCCATCCAATTACTGATTAGGTTCGAGCTTGCTTAACTTCAATACTCGTACGAGAACCTGCATTTCAATTGTGAGCGTTATCGATTACCCTACTTGCCTATCCAAGCTTACAGCACCTGGCTTTCCCAAGTCGTCACCCATCCAGTTACTGACCAGGTTCGAGCTTGCTTAACTTCAATACTCGTACGAGAACCTGCATTTCAATGTGATATGGCCTTAAGCCTAAAGAGTACTAGAATACTGTGCGATTTCCTGCAACTTAAAAAAAAAGGATAAAATTTAAAACTTTTAAAAAAATTAACATTTTCCAGGACATTGAAATTTAAATGATAACCTAAAAAAAAAAAAAAAATGCCAGCTAATCGTAAATGAGAAGAAAGAATATTTCACGTTGGTGTTTCTAAAACATAATGTCAAAAGTCGTGCCGATCGTCATAAGAGCACTTGTATGGCTTTAAAATGCAGAATAAGTATTAAATAATCCGAGTAATACTTGAAGCAGCATTACGAAAAGCAATAAATAAATAAATAAATAAAAAATAAAAGCTGAAGCTGTTGTTGAAGTTTGGATGAGTCTTGTTGTCACTTGATATTCAATATACGCCAACAGGCATGACTGCAGTGAAAAGACCTCGAGTCTAAATAATTATTGAAAGAATACCGGCAAGAGGGTTTTGGTAATGATACAAGGTGAAAAAAACATGTCAAACTACACAGTAAATCAGAATTAAATTGAGAATATGTATAAGTATTTCAAGATAGCTGAAGAAACCCTGAGACGTGCCGGTAGTTGTCGGAGCGTTGGAATGGTCCAGAAAAACAGCCGGAGCAGCTAGAAAATCAGGGGAAATGTGCTGAAAACAACTAGAATAATAATAAGGAAGCTGGATTATTAAACAGATTTTTGCCATGCGTTTCCATAACATATTTCCACGCTATTATTTAATAAAACGCTATAGCCACTGATGGAAAAGGGTTACTGAATGGGGGATATTTTGTGCGCGTAAGAATTGTAGACGATGAGGTTTGAGAGATAACTGCGAACCCTAGAGTTTAAAATATAAAGATCGTAGTGGTCTAGGAAGCATTCCCACGGAGTCTGTTCCGTAAACCATCGGCTCTTTGGAAGAAGATATCCAAATGGAAATACCTTCTTACCAAACGAATACGATGTTTCAACAGTGTGTACATGGCATAGTCAGAACTAGAAAATGTAGCACGTCAGAAGACTTTCCATGGCAATAGTGATAGATTAGCGAGAAGCTTTCGATGATAGGTTTGTGGGAAAGCAAGAATTGTGAGCAAGAAATAATTCATCACACACAAAGCTGCGCAAACTTTATTGAACTCAGTCAAGGCTGGCACGTGAAGATTGTGCAGCTCCACCCCAGATGTGGCAGGAATATTTAATTTTTGGTCTGATCTGTTTCTTGTTAATATAAAGCACGATAAAGCATGATAAAAAGGAGTCAGGAACTTTCTGGAATAGTACACTGGAACGACCATTTTCCGATCACCATTAGCAGCTAGGATACTAAGACGACTGTTAGGACCTTTGCTTTTTTTTATTATCTGCCACGAACTGTTAGGAAACATAGTGGAGTAGTTCCTAGCTACCTTGCCCAGTGTTTAGAATTCAGAGTTTTCATTCTGTTATATTGGTTTTTATCGAAGGCTAGTGAGCAGAGTGTATCTTATTCTTTAATCCATAGCTGGGTAGACAGCCTTATGGCTTTATTAAAGGTATTTGTGCGAAAGGGATCGCAAGACACTTGAACTCGCCTCACTGATTCACTTAACGGGTTCTCGATTAGTGATGAATTCCTCTTCAGGATTTTAGAGCGAAGTGGGTGACGTGAGCACGGTCGAATTTGACGAAGTCGTCCAAGAAATCAGAATGTACAAGACTGTGACAGAGGCCAGGATCAAGTGTGATAAAGCCTGTTTACTTGCAAATGGGCGCGTGGAAGGTAGTTTCTCTTCTCGGGTCATTCCACTAGATATCCAAAATATTCGGCGTCTGGTTTGGTCTCAAATTTCATTTGGAAAGGCTCTAATCAGGAATTCAGAATGGCGAGGCCACAGCTCGTTTATAGTCCGAGATGAAACCTTCTTTAAATTGGAAGGTGTTTGTTTGCGCTTCGGACATATACCCGATTCTCCTTTCTAGACTGGCCGCTCTTCACACTCCCGTTTGAGCATACTATGTAGTTTAACAAGGGTCTTGTTCTCCCTCTTATAGAGCGTGAAGTCCCCTCATGTATGTCGCGCAGTTCGTGGCCTCCAGCTTTCTAAAGACGGCCTGGGTATGCCGAGCGTTGCCCTTCATCTATACCTGCTTCTCATCACTTTCCTAGACCGAATATGTACGCAATCGGATGGGAACGGCCAATTCTGGAAAGAGAACGACCATAAGAACTTCCCATTCCTGAGAAATGAATACTCACTCGTGGAGGAGGCGATCCGCTGTTAACCCCGAGGAGAGTGCTCCTGCTATCGTGAACGACGAAACGCTCTCAATTTCTTGATGATGATGGTTGGCTTCTCCGACGTCCAACCGCTTTCTTGGAAGGGATTATATCAGGACCTAGTTAGGTGGAGTAACGGATAGCAGCTCGGATTGAGGAATCGGAGAGCCGAGTTCGAATTCCAGTCAAATCAATTACATTCACTTAAATGCCAATAACCTTGGGAAAGGTATGAATCCTCTTCTTCTCCCCCCAGCTATGGGTAAATAGCAGGTTCTATAGACTTGGTTGGCAACTGGTCTATACATTACAGTCACTTACGTGCTAATCTTCTTGGGAAAGGTATAAATCCTCTTCTTCTCCCCCTCAGCTATGGGTAAAAAAACAGGGCAGACCGGGTTCTATAGCTTTGGATGGCAACTGGTCTATCGCAGAAAGAAATGGCATCCTACTGCGGGAAAAAAAATCTGCCTCGTCAGTCATGTATCGAAAGATACATGATCGCCTAAGCATGTATCACACATGGCACATAACAGACATATATATATATATATATATATATATGTTTAAATAGAGTAGTAGAGCCGAGTTCGAATTCCAGTCGAATCCATTACATTCACTTACGTGCTAATCTACTTGAGAAAGGAATAAATCCTCTTCTTCTCCCCCTCAGCTATGGGTAAAAAACAGGGCTACCGGGTTCTATAGCCTTGGATGGCAACTGGTCTATCGCAGCCTACTGCGGGAAAAAAAGAAATGGCAGCCATGTACTGCAGACATATATATATATATATATATATATATATATATATATATATAAAAAAATATGGTAGAGCCGAGTTCGAATTCCAGGAATCCATTACATTCACTTACGTGCTAATCTTCTTGAGAAAGGAATAAATCCTCTTCTTCTCCGCCTCAGCTATGGGTAAAAAACAGGGCTCGTCAGTCATGTATCAGAAAGAAACACATGATCGCCATGGCACAAAAACAGACATATATATATATATATGTGTGTGTGTGTGTGTGTGTGTGTGTATCCGGCATGGCGTGTATAACTGACGGAATTAGAGGATGGGGAGCTCGATCTGTTAGACGGTCTTACGAAGCAGGAGTTTCTCTCCCTGTGGTCATGGATGAAATGCCTCATTAATGATTACGCATCACTCACATTGAAACGTTCATTGGGTTTTAAAAATGAAATTAAAATGCTGCAAGTTCAAAGGCAAATTTGAAGATTCCGTTTAGACAACTAAATTGCTTAAGCAACGAAAATTTACTATCGATTCGGTCTAGTCAAAGAAAAATGCTTGTTTGCTTACTGGTCATCTCTTCACCATTCACCAGTATATATATATATATATATATATATAGTATATATATATATATATATATATATAGTTAAATTCCCAGATGAATTCTGTGGACAAGACAGATTGGTATCAAATGACAATTGGAAAAAATCATACATTTTACCGACGCGTTTCGTCTTCCGACTTTTTCAAGGCAAAAATGAAATCGAAATGTTTTTTGCTGTTATAGTTACATTAAAATATTTTTAATTTTGAATTTTAATGTAACTATAACAGCAAAAACATTTCGATTTCATTAAAAAAGTCGGAAGTCGAAACGCGTCGGCAAATGTATGATTTTTTCAATTGTCATTTGATACCATATATATATATATATATATATATATATATATATATATATATATAAGATAATCCTATAGTGACAGGCAAACCTACCTAGGTTTCACCTAAACGAATCTTAAAATCCATTTAGATGAAACCTAGGTAGGTTTGCCTGGTTCCTTAGAATTGTCTTAGGTTTTGCTCTATTTTGTGTATTGAGCACTTCACGTACTTGCCTTTTTACTAGTTTTTAAAGGTGGGGGGGAACTTGGAGCTTAAACATCGGACGATTGTTTTCGCCTTGTTTTAATACTCTTGGTTCTTTTTTTTTTATTCCCCATTTTTCTCGGGTACCGATTTGTTCTATTGCAAGTTGAGCTATCCGAGGTTTCCCAAAGGAGTATCACCATTTATATATATATATATATATATATATATATATATATATATATATATATATATATATATTGTGTCTATTTAGGCAGCATTTTTTCATTGATTCATGTTTCATTAAATAATATGGACAAGTGTTGTCTATTTATTTTATGTAATTTCTTTTCATATCGTCTGATATGCTTTCATTAAACGAAGAAAGAAAATCACAATATTGATACATATTTTTTTAATCATATCTAAGCTTTCGGCTTACACACGCCATTATCAAAGATGACAATTACATTACAATATATTAAGCAATACACGGACAAAACAGTGATGATAGTCTGTTTCTGTTTACATGAAAGATTTCCAAGCATCGACAAACTCGTGCATATAAGACGCTGGAAGCAAAAATCGCACCGCAGTCATGACGTCACACATGACCACGCGAGAGTGAAAACGAGAAGTATTAAGTATGGGAAGCTGTTGGTATAAACCAATGGCTTCTGTTACCAATTATAGGCATTTAAAAATATTTGTGGAGATTTCATAGTTTATTTTGTTCAGGTTAGGTTTCAACTGTTTTATTTATATAGCTTCAAGAATTTTTAGTTTTTGTTTATTGTTTTCATATTTAAGTATAGTTGTGTTTTCAACAAGGATTTTCCGGAATTGTGTACGCGGCCAGGCATGTTGTTTTAAATGCCTAAAAATGTTAGAGTTATCATTCAAATGTA